TTAACTGTCATCCGGTTTTTGAAAGTGCAAAAATCGTTTTCCTTATTTTGTTAGTCATTCATCTGCGTATAATTAACGGTCTTTCTATACTTTATCTTGGTCTGTGTTATCCCGCTGCATTTGAATTCTTGTTTTACACTGACGTCTAATAGAATTTATTCAAACGAGGTACTTTGTTTTTTTTATTTATTTATTATTTAGCCCACCGAGCTAAGAAAGAGTTCGTACAGCGAGGGGAGGGGGGAGAGGGGCCGTGTGCTGCAGTGGCCTGGCGGTGTGTAGCCAACTTCGTCTGCTCTCCAGCCCTGTCGGCCGGTCGAGATGCGAGGTGGAGGGGACTGAGCGCGCGCGCTGCGGTGGCGTGGCGGTGCGTGGTCTGCCCAAACACACGCACGTAGTCTGCACAGTACCAGCGGCCTTGTCCAAAAGCTGCTCCTTCGAGATGTTGCGGCCGAGCACATCTTTGGCGCCTCGCTTGAACTTGTGCCGGATGCGGCCGGACGCCTGCTCCCTGACGTGCACGTTGTACTTGTAGAGCACGCTCTGCGGGCGCGCGCCCCGCCGGTCTACCCGCCGCACCTCGCTGCGCATTGCCTGGTAGCGCGTCACATGCCGGGCGAAGGCACGCGGCTGCCCCAGGTACACGCCAGGGAAGGCCAGCTCCTCAGCCTTACGGTCCCACACGACACTCACCGGGGTGCTGTTCTCGCCCGGCGCCACATCCACCTCGTCGGTCTCCGGGTCGGTTCTGCACGGCACGGGCGGGCGCGCCGGGCACGCGCGGTCCTCTGTAAGCAGTGAGTGCTGGACTGTCCCGAGGCGCGAAAACATCTCCTCGTGGTCCGCAGGTTCGTCGGGCTGCCCAAAGAACACGTCTCCCTCCTCACTGAACCGCGGCTCCTCTTCTCCCTCGGCGGGCGCGGGCGGTGGGTCCAGGCGGGACTCGTCGAAGACGACGCCGTGCTCGCGATACAGCGGCGAGCCCTGCAGGTAGCGGCCCCACTCCACCAGCTTGCTCTTGTCAACGAAGCTCCGCGCGTATGCCCGTCTGTGTATTAGCTTGCGCTTGATATTGACAACACACAGCTCGTCCTCCTGCGGCAGCAGTGGGATGACGGTGCGCACCGTGTCGGCCGCGTCCGTCGGCACGTTGATGACTGAGCCCCGCACGCCGTACTGCCCGCGGCTGCCCAATCTGCCCAGGTGCACTATCTGTTGGAAGGGCAGGCGCAGCGCCAGGACGTGCTCTTCCACCTCGGTGAGCGGTCGCAGCCCGGGCGGCAAAGGCGGGTAGCGGAAGCCGTTCACCACGGCCGTCGGCGGCACCTGCATCTTCACGATGTAGCCGTGACAGGTGGCGCACAGGTCCTGCCGGCCGGGCTCCGTCACCAGCTTCTCGAGGTGCTCGCTGACCGCTGGGCCCATGTCCTCGCCGAGGCGCTCCACGTTGACGCGGCGCACGGCCCGCTCGTTGAGCAACCGGTCGCACACGTAGCACTGTGCCGCGCACACGCCGGCCAGGGTACGGGTCACGCTCGCACACACCGCCGCCACCACGGCGGGGTCGTTGGGGCGGGGGCAGCCCTGGTGCTCCGCGCCGTCGGTGTCCGATACGTCTGACCCTTCGCCATAATCGTCACCCAGCGACTCGCAGCCAGAGTCCTCGTCCGACTCACACACTAGGCCTGTAACACAACGCGGTTAGCTGGGTCATACTACCTCAATGCCATGCGATGCGACGACGCGACGACGGCACACATCAATGTGAAATAGTGCATAGTGATACTTACGGTCATTCCAAACCGAAAACAAAGTTTGGCTCGGGCCCTCCAAGTCGTTTTTACCCCCGTTGGTTTGTATATTCGAAACTGCAATAACAATGGGAGTTTAATTTTGAATTTCAAATTGACAATTGCATTCTGTTTTAAACAAATGAGTACTTACGTATCTCAGTTTGTTCCACACTTTCCTGTCCGTTCCGGCTCTGCTTTTTAGCTTTCCGCCGTTCTCTCTCCCTCTGGCGCTTCTGTTCCTTCTGTTCGTCCGACATTTTTCTGAACCGTTCTCTGGTCTTCTGCCGCTTTTGTTCCTTTTCTGCCTCCAAGGCAGCCGGAGACTTAGCCAAGCGCCGCTCTCTCTCCCTCTGCCGGTTTTGTTCCTTCTCTGCCTCCAAGGCAGCCGCAGGCTTAGCCAAGCGTCGCTCTCTCTTCCTCTGCCGCCTCCGTTCTCTCTCAGCTTCGGACACAGACGAGGAAGTTGGCCGTAGAACGCCACCTTAAAAGGATTGCGAGCTTTATAACAATCAACTAAAAACAATGATTTCAATGTCATAGTACGCTTTCCCGTACTTACCCGTAACGACAGTTGGTGACGCCGGTGCGAGCGCCGGTGGGCCCCGCAACACGCTGTCGTAGTGCACGCGCTCCACCCGCGCCCCGTCCACCCGTGGCGCCAGGCTGAGGCGGTACGCGATGCACAAGGTGGCCCGCGGCGGCACCCTCTTCTCCGGCACTATGTCCGTGGCAGGCGCGCGCGGGCCCCCGGCGTCCACCTCGTTGAACACGCGGATGGTGACGTTGTAGTGGCAGGCGAGCGCGGACAGCACCGCGTTGTTGCCCCACGCGCCGCCCTCCTTGACCGGCCGCCGCACGCCCCAGACAAAAAATCCCACATGTCCCACAAGATTGTGGGAGGTATTTCCTGTAGGAATTTTGGAAATCCCACATGAAGATTTTTCCCACATCGATGTCCCACAAAAATTGTGGTATCCCCCACACAACTTGACTTCCCACATGATGTATGTCCCACAGGAGGTGGGACTTAGAATATTTTCCTGTGCCGTGGCAAGGTCTCCATGTTGTAGATAGTCATCGCCCCGCCTACTATCTTCTAGCAGAAGGCGCCGTAGCGCAGATGGTAAAGGACCTAGCTAGTAATGAGAAGGGTCTGGGTTCGAATACTGCCACCTGACTCACTTTTTTAACCTTTTAACTAAAAACTTTTACGTTATTATGTTACTGAACCATTTTTGAACATTTTGAACAGTATTCTGGTACTCGTTTGTAGCCAAAAAGAGGAGTACCTGCTATTTTTTATGTAGGATTTCGTCCTGTGGGAAATATTTTTCATGTGGGAAAATGCAACCTGTGGGAAAAATGTCCCACGCCAAAAACCTACAAGAACCTGTAGGAAGTGACTTCTTGTGGGATGCTATGTGGGAATTTTAGTCTGGGGCCGTCTATCACGGCGGCCAGGGCGGCCGCGGGGTCCGGAACCTCGCCGTCCACAATCAGCCTCGCGTACCGGCCAGGCTCGTCCAGCACGAGGCCCACGGCGGGGTCCTGGTACAGCTCAGTGTGGTTCTCCATGAACGTGGCTGCCGCCCTCCTGAGGAAGGCTGCAAACTTCATGTGGGTCTGGCCTCCCACCGGGCCCAGCCGGCTCTTGATGACGCCCCGGTGGTGCAGCTGGTGCGCCAGGGCCGTGTACATGCACTCGCCGTCCGCCGGCATGCACACGACCTGCACCTCTCCCTCCTCCACGCGCACCGCCTGCTCCGTGCCGGTGCCGGCCCAGCCCTGCACCAAGCACACGTGTCACTCACACTTCACAAACACACGCGAGGCACGTAAACACTATCGATGGGAACTTACCTGATTAGCACGCAGCATGTTGACGAGCTCTTCGCACACACGCCACACACAACACTTATATTCCGAAGGAGCGACACGCCACACACCCGTCCACTTTCACACCCAAAACTGATCTGAGCTCTGGAGCAGGGCGACAACCCCTTCAGCCCTTTAAAATGTCCGCGACGCAGCCCCATAGTTTTTAATAGGGTGGGGTGTGAGGCGGTAGTGGGGCGGTAGGTCAGGTCAGGTCAGACGGCGGCTCACCAAAGCGGACTGTGGCAGCAGGGCTGCGAAAACAGGGCTAGTGCGTTTTACGATGATTTCAGGGCGGCTGGAGCTGAGGGG